GACAAAGCAGCGGCACGTAACTGACGCACATCAATACTATAAAAAACCTCAGCCCAATCAGGATCAGCAAACAATAAGAAATACCTCCCGTCAAGCTGTTCCAGGAGAGAAGCCCCTTCATCGATGACATATAGGCTATCAATATCTGCGCACATGCGCTGAGTCCACGGAGACACCACCCCCTCCAGCCTTCCCCTCGTATCAACGTGATAATGATCACTGCCGAAGGCTCCAAACAGACACGCCAGAAGTTGACGATGGGCCCCAGGGACTTTTGAAACACTCTGCCAAAGTCGAAGACGACGAATTCTGATTTCCAGATCAAGGGGTACAAGCCGCCACCATCGGAGGACAGCAGCAGAGGAGAGACTTTTAGGGTGAACGCCAGAGGTCCAATCTACAGCTTGACCGAGCATCGCCTTCCGAGCATACTGGGCTACAACATGCTGCAGACGCTGGACTTGTTGCACACTCGGGAGAAACGCCTCGACCCCAGAGAGAGCCACATTATATATTTTTGAGATCAATAAACAGCGTCGAAGTCGGTGCGGGACGCCCCGAAGAGTCCAGAACCCACCCATCTGATACCAGGCCTGCCGAACCGCGCTGATACGAGACTTAAGTTCAAACTCGTAGCTAGTCGGTACCGAAGACATCCAGGATCCCAGACTCTTAGCACATTGGACAGGCTTCCCAGGAAATACAAGACGTCCCGCCCGAACATCACGAAGACAAGTAGCCGCCCCAGGCCCCTGAACGTGCAACAATGTGTCCTGCTTGGTTAGATTCTGCGCAAAGCCAACCTCGGCAAGAAGCTCGTCTAGGCACTGATTGGACAGCCGGCTTAAAGTGGCCAACTCGTGCGGCTCAGCACCTCGCGGAAGCACAAGCTTCTTGGTGAGATCGTCAGCATACTTCGTAAGCGAGCAGTTAACAGGTTCACGTTCATACTCAAGCCGGCCATCTCGAAAAAGTGGGAGCCGAGCACAGAGAACAGAGGCCTGGGGGTCAAACGCGGCGTGGGAGGCCAGCCACTTCTGCACAGGCGGGACGAAGGTGCGCAAAAACGTATTGACTGCAAACTCATCCCCCATCAATCCTCCACTCCGCGGTGCAATGTTGACATCCTCCTCATGCCCCCTCAACGTGATGACAGCACTCCTAAGACGCTGAAGGCCGAACCGCACAGACGATCCCAAAAATAAATCTCGAATTGCAGACTCCATTGGCGGTCGTGCACTGCTGGCGAAAGCATTCGTCAAATCGTGGGCGTTAGTCAAAAAGGTGTATCCATGACGATGTAGCCACTCCCCAGTGATACCCTGAACCATGAGCGCACATTCACGACGTCGGTGCCTCAGAAACCCATGATCCTGGTCAGTACCCTGCAGCTGGCCACGCTGGGCCATCACCCCCGACGTCCAGGCCTTCCCAAAGGGGTCCAGGAGGTGGATCCAGCGAGTTTTTCCATCGGGCCGCGGAAGAGGAGCACCCCGACTACGATTCCAGAAGATCGGAATTTGCCCACAGCATCGAATCCGAGCAAGTCCCCAGACGACCAAGTCTCTGAAGTTCTCCAAAGAGTGCGGGCATGCAACGGCACCCACTCCAGTTGGCAGCTGGCTCAGGTTCTTCTTCGGAAAAAGCGACAGCCACCACAGCTCTAAAGGAGGAGACCACTCTGGGGCAGCTCGACGCTTGCCAGCACGCGTCAAGCGAGACATAATAGCATGCAGATCTCGACGGGCAGCTCGAAAGTCCTCTTCAGATGGCTGCACTCTGGGAGGAGCCCGAGAAATCCACTCAGACCGCCAATCATGCCAGTTATCAACAGATACCGCCGCCATGCCTCCAAGAGGCCCAGGCTGAGCAAACAGGCGCTTAAGGTCAGCAGCGTCATCAACCGTCCCTCGAATCGTCGCGTAATCGCGCTTCTTCGGACCGAATCTCGAACATGCCGCTCGCCTGGCCAATCGGGTCGCTTCAGCTAAACGACGGTGCTTCCAATGTTCTCTCACCTCCTCCAACAGCGCCTCCCTCCACTCCTCCAAAGCACGCCTACGAAACAGTCTGTGCAGTCGTGACACATCTCTGAGACGATGCTGAACTTGCACAACGTGCTCTTCGGCGACCTCTGGAAGCATAAGCCTAAGTTGTCTACGCTGCTCCAGCAGCTGTTCTCGCTCAAGTCTATAGGCTTTTTGCTGTATACTCTCAGGATTGCCGAAAACCTCCTGGCCAACCTCAATCAGTACAGTATTAATCTGTTCAAAGAAATCATCAGCCGTAGACTTGTCCAACAAAGCAGTTAAAACATTCTCATCAGCCTCCAGCCTGCGGTGTAAAGCCTGCACAAATTCAGCACGCCGTTCGCCACGACGCAGACACCGCATGAGCAGATCACGATCCCAAACATGAGGTTTAGCACGAGGGGTGAAGGTAGAATACGGGGGCGCATATGTAGTCTTAATCATAATGAGGAGGTGGTCAGCAGGTTTCGCAGAGGGGATAATTTGCAGCTCACGACTGACACGTCGAAGTGGACTGCTGTGCGACATCTGATCAACAAGCGGGCGCGGTAGACACAAAGAATCAATCGTGCTCGTCCCTCCTGTGTTGCCGTAGAAGGTCGGCACTCGCTCCCGCGCACAGTTAGCAGCACACAAATCGTGATTCGCTAGTACCTCCCCCACCGCAATCCCCGCATAGTGTGCCTGACTGGCCGTGGACGACGGAACGACATATTTCTCGTCATAAGCCCACCCTCGCCCAGCAACATGCACCAGTCCCAGCCCGTCATTCAAATCCATACCCACGACGGGAGTAGACCGAGCAGGGAGGGCACATAATTGTTCGGCTAGCCACGAAGTCAGTTTATCACAGGTACGCTGATACCCACTCATCACCGCAAGATCCCTAGGTCGAGGAGGATAGTACAACGCAATACAGGCCAGGTCCCAGGAACCATTTTTTACTCGAACAAGCAGCCCGCGTCCGTGGAGTTCTGGTGGGGGGACAGCCACTCGAACGATGTGTGCCTCCGAGAACCTTCGACCCAGGACGACCGAGCATCCACACGAGTTGGTGACAAGTGGGCCCACGCGATACCCTGCTTCAATGACGACACGAGAACGATGCAAAGCTGGCATGTACACCTGTCGGCGCCTCACGGGGACGCCTGCCGCAGCCTTCACCTTCGTGCCGACGAGGGTCAGCACGTCAAACGATGAGGTCCTGCGGCAGATCTCCTCCATTCGATCCTCACTGTTCGCCCGCAACGGGTTGTAGCTGCCAGCGACCAAGGGGAACATGAGAAAGGGCAGCCAGCAGCCCCTCACACAGTGGACAAGAAGAGAAAACATGAATGTGGCGTGGGCTACGTTATACTGAATACGCCCCTGTGACGTTGGGTCGGAGCCGAGGGGGCTGGAGGAGGAGGAGGAGGAGGAGGAGGAGGAGGAGGAAGAGGACGACGGGGGGAGGAGGCCGACGAGGGCGCGCAGCCGGAAGTATAGGGGCGGGGACAGCGAAGAGCGCAAGTAGGATGCTTCCGCCGATGAGCGCAGCCTGTCAGCCTGTCAGCTCCTGGAGCGCAGGGCCGATTACAGGCACGGGCGAGGACACAAGAGAAGGACAAAGAGGACAAGCGCCCCTGCTCCTGCTCCTCCTCCTCCTGCCTCCTCCTCCCCTCCTCCTCCCCCATCCTCCTCCTCCTCCTCCTCCTCCTCCTTCTCCTCCTCCTCCTCCTCCTCCTCCTCCCTCCCTCCCCTCCCTCCCTCCCTCCCTCCCTCCCTCCCTCCCTCCTCCCCTCCCTCCCTCCCTCCTCCCTCCTCCTCTCCCTCCCTCCCCCTCCTCCCCTCCTCCTCCTCCTCCTCCTCCTCCTCCTCCTCCTCCTCCTCCTCCTCCTCCTCCTCCTCCTCCCCCTCCCTCCTCGACCTCGGCCGCTACGCTCAGGGCCAGGCGCCGAGCCTGCCCCAAGGCCGCACGAGCAGCGCGGCACTGCAGCGAGAACCGTGGGAGAGGAGCAGCAGCACAGGCCCCCGGAGAAGCGAACTCCGATCCTCCTTCTCCTCCTCCTCCTCCCTCCTCCTCCTCCTCCTCCTCCTCCTCCTCCTCCTCCTCCTCCTCCTCCTCCCCTCCTCCTCCTCCCTCTCCTCCTCCTCCTCCTCCTCCTCCTCCTCCTCCTCCTCCTCCCCTCCTCCTCCTCTCCTCCTCCTCCTCCTCTCTCCTCCCTCCTCCCCTCCTCCTCGCCTTCCTCCTCCTCCTCCTCCTCCTCCTCCTCCTCCTCTTCCTCCTCCCCCTCCTCCTCCTCCTCGCCTCCTCCTCCGCCTCCCCCTCCCTCCTCGACCTCGCCCGTTACGCTCGGGGGCCAGGCCTGCCCCAGGCTGCACCGAGCAGCGCAGCACTGCGGCGAGAGCCGTGGGAGGAGCAGCAGCACAGGCTGCCCGGAGAAGACGAAATCCGATCTGGTCCAATCCTCCACCATGCCCTCCTCCTCCTCCTCCGCCTCCTCTTCCTCTCCAATCCAAGTCTCCTCCTCCTCCTCCACCATGTCCTCCTCCTCCTCCTCCGCCTCCTCCGCCTCCTCCGCCTCCTCCGCCTCCTCCGCCTCCTCCTCCTCCTCCTCCTCCTCCTCCTCCTCCTCCTCCTCCTCCTCTCCAATCCAAGTCAACTCCTCCTCGTCCTCGGCATCCTGGCGCTCCTCATCTACCTCTGCCTCTTTCCTCCTCCTCCTCCTCCTCCTCCTCCTCCTCCTCCTGCGCAGCCTCCTACTCGGGAATCTTCAGACCCGGGTGAATCCAGACCTGGGTCAGTCAGGCCTTGCACAATCCTGCAAGGTCCTGTTCCCAAAGCGGGGTCAATGCGAAGGAACCTGAATGATCCTGCAGGATCCTGCACCCCAGTCCGGGTCAATGCAACCATGCCCCTGCAGAATCGTGCAAGATCGGGCGCTCTGGCTAAACCCCGCTTGCAATGACCCCCGTCTCAAGGCTGCCGACCTACTCTCCCTCTCGTGGCGCCAGTAAGATGGCGAGGAGGATGTGGCTTCCCGCGGCTCTCCACGGGAGCCCCCACGGCGAAGACGAGGAGGACAACGATGACGAGGAGGACACTGCGGAAGAGGAGGGCGAGCCGGACGAGGAAGACGAGCAGGGCGAGGAACAAGACGTCGTCGTCGTCGCCGTTGCCGTCGCTGCTGTAGCCGCCGCCGCCGTCGTCGGCGCCGTCGCCGCCGTCGTCGCCGCCGTCTGTCGCCGCCGCGAAGTCAGTCGTCGTCGCCGTCCTCTACGGGGGCCCACGTCCACAGGGTGTGCCCATCCGCCGTCTCGGTGGTGAAGTCGCTGCATTCTGGGAGGCCTAGCTTCGCCAGCTGCTCTTTCTTCGCCTGGCCAAGCGAGGCGTCGTCCTCGTCGTCCTCGTCCTCGTCGTTGTCGTGGTGCTCCACCTCCCCCTCGTCCTCACCCTCCTGAGAAGGAGACCGAGAATGCTCCTCTCCTCCGTTCGTCCGCTACTCTACATATCGACTGCTCTAGCTCCCCGCGTTCCTCCCTTTCTCTGTCCTGTCCATGCTCTGTTCCACTCATCTAATCATGTCCCTTTTCGTCCATTCATCCATTCCTCCCTATCTTCCCCCCCTCTGTGCCCCTTTGTCAGGAGGGCTTCCTCCACTCACTTCCCTCCATGCGCGGGACCCCATGACAGGCACGCGGGCAAGGGGCTCATCACTCCGACAAGGCTGCCAGGTACAGCGATGGTGCGGGGCTCCCGGCCGACCAACCCTAACCCTTCGCTTGCAGGTACTGCAACGGCGTCAAGAAGAAATGCAAGCACGGATGGCATGGCACCGAGCTGGTCGCCGTTACCAGGGCTGGTCGGACGCGCAGCCGCACCGTCGCGAAGAACGACACACAGAGGACCCGGCAGAGTTGCATTCGCTGCGGCCTCGACCCCCAAGAATCGAAGTCACGCCCGCGGGCCCTCGTTGCACCAAGCACCTGCGGAGACCGCCAGGACCAGCTCGTGCAGCGGGCCCTGCTCACGACCGCCGAGGCCGTGCCCTGCTTTTGGCGCGTGAAGGCACGGTCGAGGTTTTCCTCCTCCTCCTCCTCCTCCTCCTCCTTGCAAGGCACGGCGGAGCGACTGGGAGAACCTCCTGCCTGGCCATTTCTCAACGGACGAGGGCCACCTCGCTCCCCTCCGGCCCGGCCGGCGTGGCCACGAGCGACGAGGCTGGCCGGATCCCAGGCAGCGGTGGCACGAGCGGGGGCACCTCCACGGAAAGCCCTCGCGGTCGTCGCGTGGGCTCGGCCACGCTCTTCCTCAGCGGTGCCTCCAGACTTCGGCCTGCCTCAGCGCAGGCGTGCACGGGAGACGCACGAGCCGGCGCTGCCAGACAGCTGCTCTTGCCGAGTCCTGGGCGTTCGCGCGCACTTCCTCGCCCACCTCCCTACGGGGTCGTGCTGCATGTCGCGGACTCAAGCTGTGTGAGCAGCGGCCTCAAGAGGCTCTCGACGGGCCTCGACGGCCTCAAGAGCCTCGAGCTGCCCTCCACGTCCGTGAACGCCCGGGCCAACGTGCGCGGTTATCCTGGGCAGCGGGTTGCCCGCCATGACGGAGCTCAACGGCGCCCAGCGGGACCCGACCCAAAGCCGCGCCGACGGCGATGCTGGTTCACGGCGAGGCTGGGACACTGAGGTCTGTGGCACCGAGCTCGCGCAGAACACGCTGTAGGAAATCAAGAACCACAGCCCCCTACATCTCGAATGTGCGAAAGCGTCCAATGCCGAAGCCTGCACCGCCGTTGCCCGCATTGCCGTCCGCGCGTCTGCGGCCGCGCCGGCGTGCGACGGCTTCCGACGGCACGGCGTGAGCCCGAGCCTGAGCGTCCGGCGGCGCCCTCCTTTCGTGCCGTAGGCAGGGAGGCCTCGGCGTCGCACCTCGAGCATGCTGGCGCTGCGCTCCTCTCAACCACTAGCTCCTGTCGCTCGGACGAGCACCATGCGGCGTAGAGCGGCTGCAGGCACAGAATCCCCCCCACCACTGATGTTGCTCCCAGCGTACTTAAGGACCACCTCCCAGACATGATTCCGAGCACCCAAGGAAGTACCGAAGCGGTGTCGAACGAGGATCGCCTCCCAGGGCCCGACACGCGACAAAATCCTCCAGCCTGGGTACTTTCTTGGTGCTCGAAACTCTTTCTGGCGATCAAGGCTAAAGTAGGTTGGAACATCCGACCAGAGGCCTGGAAATGGGCACCAGCACCAACACAGGGGGTTACCTCCACAGGGGCAAAATGAACCTAGATTTCGGTAGTGGTGGTAACATTCCGGTCACCTTGGAAGCCCGAATATTACGACCATCGCCGAGATCGGGATCCTCTTTCCTCGGCGGAGGCACAGCGCCGATGTTGGTGTTGGTGTCAATCTCTAGGCTTAGGTCGGGCCTCTCCCGCCACAGGGGGGGGTCGGGCGACAAATTTAAGATACGACGCAAAAAATACCCTCAAATAGTCAAACAAAAATGCTCAACAAATCGTTCCCAGACTATTCTTGGACTATTATTGAACGTTCCCCCTGTAGAGGGACAGGCCCGACTTAACACTAGGCCCGCGACAGCACCTGCCACCTCCGCGTGCGGGACCGGCTACACGGGCGCGAGCCGCGCATGGCCGACGCACCTTTTGGGTGCGCGGGCGCTCGACGCGCACGGCCGAGCCACACCGGCCGGGCGCGCTGCCGCGACTGCAGCCACCGCGTGGCCAGAAAGCCGGGGGCGCTGCATCCGAGACACGCGATTGCCCGGTCTCGCCACGGCCAGCCCCGGCCTCGGAGAGGGACCACGACTGCAGCCACCGTGTTTGCGGGCAAGGTTGATGTCCATATCCAGTGTGTTTGGGATCTGTTTGGAAGGGGTGCCACAAGGCCGCGGCGCACTGGATATGGATAAACATCGAGCCTCCAGGGGGCAAATTTATCCATATCGACTGCGCCTCGGTTCTTTGGGGAAGGGAGCCCAACACTCCACGCTGCAGTGGATATGGACAGAAGTATTGCCCGCAGTGTTGCCTCGGCGGGCCTCGGCCTCGGGGAGCGTCCCCCGACCCGGGCCGCCAGGGAGCGGCCCGAAGGCCGGAGCACCTCCTGAGCCCCTTAAGGTCCCCACTCCAGGGCCTTGACCTTATCCCCCTCCGCGTCTGTCCTCCTCCTCCACCTCCTCCTCCTCCTCCTCCTCCTCCTCCTCCTCCTATCCTCCTCCTCCTCCTCCTCCCCCCCCTCCTCCTCCTCCTCCTCCTCCTCCTCCTCCTCCTCCTCCTCCTCCTCCTCCTCCTCCTCCTCCTCCTCCTCCTCCTTCCTCCTCCTCCTCCTCCTCCTCCTCCCTCCTCCTCCTCCTCCTCCTCCTCCTCCTCCTCCTCCTCCCTCCTCCTCCTCCTCCTCCTCCTCCTCCTCCTCCTCCTCCTCCTCCTCCTCCCTCCTCCTCCTCCTCCCTCCTCCCTCCTCCCTCCTCCCTCCCCCTCCTCCTCCTCCCTCCTCCCTCCTCCTCCTTCTCCTCCTCCTCCTCCTCCTCCTCCTCCTCCTGCTCTCCTCCTCCTCCTCCTCCTCCTCCTCCTCCTCCTCCTCCTCCGCTGTGCACTGCTGCTTCCTTCCACCCGGTCCGCAACGGGTCGATCTGCCACTTCTTCAGGACCGACGTGGAGGGCCAGAAGGCCAGGACTCCTGGTCCCTGCCCTGCGGGCCCCGCAGGCAGCATCGCAAAACCATCGAGCCGCAGGTACTTGGGCTGCGCGGCCGTCGGCTGCACGAGGCTCACCTCCTCGCGCCTGCCGCTGGCATCCAGGGCCCAAGCGCGGCAAACCGCACGCAGGGCGCCTGCTCTCTGGGGGCAACATTTGGAGGAAGGAGGGCCCTCCAGCGGCGCTCCCGGCAGAGCGGCGCCAGCGAGCGGCAGCACCACGTGCGCGCGCCTCGGGGAACGACCGATGACATAAACATCACTCGTGGGAGGAGAAGGAGGAGGAGGAGGAGGAGGAGGAGGAGGAGGAGGAGGAGGAGGAGGAGGCAGGAGGAGGAGGGAGGAGGAGGAGGGAGGAAGAGGAGGAGGTGGAGGAGGAAAAGGAGGAGGAGGAGGAGGAGGACGGGGAGGATGAACGGCGGCTTTCTCGGATCGGCGCTGGGCACCCCTCCCCGGCGCGCGGAGCGAGCCATATGGGCGGCGGCGGGGGCTCCGCCGGGGGGCTCCCGCGCCGATCCGGGAGGTTCGTGTGGACCTCCGACGGCTCATGATGTCAGTGTTTGCTCCCCGGTGTGCAGCGCGCAGCGCCTGGTCGCCCGAGGCGGAAGTGGCCCCTGCACTTACGTCGGGCATGTCCTCCTACGGGCGGACTCCGGAGGGAGACTCGGACGTAGCCCAAACAGGTTCCAGCATTGCCAGGAGAGCACGACACGTCGCCACCAGACCGTGGTGCGAACTGCTCTGGGCTACTCCTCCTCCTGTAGAGGGAGACATGCACGACTTGACGCTACGCGACCGAGACACGCTGGAAGGGACCTCTCAAGCTGCTCGCAGGGCCTCCGCAGTATCCATAAGAGCAAGAACGCAGCCGAGCACAGGAGGGCGTGGCGTGCAGGCAGCCGCGGAGCTCGGACATGCAGGAGCGATGGTGCGGACGGCGCCGCAAAGCCCTGGGAGAGCCTGGCCATCGCTCGGACGTCCACTCCCTGTGTTTTTGTTCGGTTTTCGTGCGTGGTTTTTTCGCCAAATCATCAAGGATGCTCCTCGATGGCCCTCGCCGAGGAAAAAAAAAAAAACGCACACGTCCGAGCGATGCCAAGGAGCAGAGCCTCGACCGCGCGAGCACCGGATCTGCAGGTGGCCGGGGCGCCACCCTGCGGCGAAGTGTGCGCGCACGGCACGGGCCGCCGGCGCTGCCCCGTGGCGTGAGCAGGGACCGGCCGCCCCGGCATTCCTGTAGGAATACCACGGAACGTTTTTAACACCTAAAAATGATGGATAAAAAAACGACCCTAACCTGGGTGACAAGTGCGTGGTCTGTGAGCTCCCTGGGAACCCCCCAAACCTAGAGGACGCCAGGACGCCGCTCATCACGCAGGGTTTACCCTGTCAGCCCACAGGAGTTTCAGCGCACAGCGCCTCGTAAACCAGGGTAGGGGCGTCTTCTATGCCCTTGAGAAAATGTTCTAATAACCGACTGCGGGGGATTCTAATACCCGGGGGGAAATATAGTTCGGGGGTCTGGCGGGATTAAATAAAGGATATTCCCGGGGGAGGTGAAATTATGATGATGATGACGATGATCGTGATGATGGAGATCCTGGGCGCTCGGCACAAGACTGACTCGAGAGATCTCGATGCTCGTTGCTATACAACTTGCGGGGTAGGCTTCATTATCGCCCGCAGTCGGTTCACAAAAACAATGTCCTGTAAACCCAATGCGTTAAAACAAAGCAGTGCCGGCCAGGAATACTCTAAGAACGTCTCGCGCAGACCACAGCAGATTCTTAGAACATTCTTTGGTAGGCCTATTGACGAACGATCCACACGCACCCATACCCATAGGGGGGACGGAATGACCTATGGGTGCGTGTTGTCGGAGGGGGTTCCTCGCTCGAATGGGAGCCTCCCATGGGGTCCGACAACCCGCACCCATACCCATAGCCAATCCTTCTCCCTCCGACCTCCCGATGGGTATGGGTGTGTGTTGTTCGTTCGTCACCTGTAGGCAAAACAAGGCTAGGATCGGGATACATCGCTCCAGAGCGTTCCGGGGCGCTCTCAGAGCGTTCCGGAACGCTCTGGAGCGGCCGCGGCACCCAATACATCCTCCGAACCCGCCGATTCTCAGAGATTCCAAGTCATCCCGGTCCGATTTTGTCCCGATCTTCGCGTCGTTTTAGTAGTCAGAGCGTGAATTACCTACCCCGCTTTCGCTTCCAGGCAAAACCAAGCCGTACCACGCGCCTCCTCGTCAAGCGGCCTGACCAGTACAGGCTGCAATTCGGCATCGTTTGGTATCTCTTGGAAGCGAGGGTGGTCAAAAGCGAGGTAGGTTTGTTTGTCCCCTAAGTAGGCTGGCCAGGACGCCTCGCCACTGCTTGGAGTGGACCCTCGCGCGGAGCGGGGCGCCCTCCGCCGCTCCGGCCGGCCGGGAGCACCGCTGCGCGCCGCGGCAGGCGCCAGGGGGCCCCGTCTCGGGGGCGGCCAGCGCCGACGACGACGACGACGACAACCTCGCCGTCGCCGTCGCCGTCGTCGTCGTCGTCGTCGTCGTCGCCGAGGGGCGTCCACGAGGGGAGGTCGCGAATCATGGCCCGAGGCATGTGCGCGGACACACGAGGGGGGGGGGGGGGGCGGGGGGCAAATGACACACAGGCAGAAAGAAGAGGCAGCCATGAACTCCGGGGAGGGTTACCATGGCCCCGGCCATGATAGATCTCCCCCTGGGCATCTCCCTCGGCATCCCCCCCGTTTTTGGCCGCCCCCGAACTTCCCCCGTCTTGGCCGCTGCCGGGCAGACAGAAACTGCGTCGTCGCTTCCTCTGCCTCCCCTGCCTCCAGCGCCTCCCATAGTGCGCAGAGGGGCACTGCTGGGCGGGACCAGCTTCGGAGGGGAAACATCGATCTGGGATCGGCGATACATCGCCGACAGATCGGCGATTGGCCCCGCACGTTCCAGGGCGGGGTGGGCCGTCGAGATAGTGGTGGCGGTCAGTGAGCGATCGGGGGTCGGTGCGTCTCCCCGGAGCGTGTCCCCCTCATGGGTTGCCCCTGGAGTGCGCCAGGGGGATCCTGGCTCCTGGGAGGCCCTCGCGGCCATGGCTGGGCGCCGCTCCAGGGGCTGGCCAGGATGAGCCCGGGGAGGGCTCGGGGGATGGACTCGGATCGGACTCGGGGCCATCGTGGACGCAACTGGGTTCGGCCCGGAAAACCTGCAGGGCGGCCCCGCAAGCTGCCGCGCCCCTATGCGAGTAGCAGGCCGCACGGCCCGCGGACCGAATCTCCGCGACGGAACGAGCAGCGGCACTCGCAGGCAAAGCCGGCGTCAATCTGGTCGGCGGGCACCCGCTGCACCAGCCGGCAGGAACCCTCGGAGGGCTCTGGGGATCCACCCTGCAGGGGCGGCTGCGCAGGCCACCCTGACTACCTACCAGACCACCCCAACCCAACCCGAAGACCCGAATTTCGGGTTGGGGGGGGTAAGAGTTCTACGTGTGTTTTTTCGATGTTTCCCGACCCCTCCCCCACTAGAAATCGACTGTAAATTCGAGCCTTCGGGTTGGGTTGGGGTGGTTTGGTGGGTGGTGACACCCCGCGTCGCGCCTCGCGCCGCGCAGCTGCGCCAGCCGTGGCCGTGCTCGCCGCCCCCGCGCCGGCCCCTGGAGAGGAGCAGCACTCCGCAGCTGGCCGCGAGGCGCGCGAAGCGCGAGCACTGCCTGCGTACCCACCCCTGCAGGATCCATCCCCGAGGCCCTCCAGGGGTTCCTCCTGGCTGGTTTTCCGAGCTGAACCCAGCTGCGTCCGCGAGGGCCCCGAGTCCGATCCGAATCCATCCCCTGCGCCCTCCCCGGGCTCGTCCCAGCCGGCCCCTCGAGCGGCGCCCAGCTGTGGCCACGAGGGCCTCCTAGGAGCCAGGAGGCCCTCCACCCATGTATAGATACACTTACACACATGCTTACACATATACATCTCTATATATATATATATATATATATATATGTATATATAGAGTGAGAAAGAAACATATAAGGAGAGTTATACACAAATAGAAAATCTCAGAATTCATAAACGCCTTGCGCCCCTGAAGGTAACCCGTACTGCCTCCTGGGCCGCGCCGGCCCGCGAGCAGAGGCCGGCGCCCGCGGCCCCGCCCGCGCCTTGTCCTTGACGCCCAGGGCCATGCCGTGCTTCCTGTAGGTGGTCATGATGCCCGGGATGGTCTCCGAGTGCGACCTGCGCGGGCGTCGCCAGCCGCCCCCACTGCGCGGAAGGGCAGGAAGACGAGGAGGATGATGCAGGATGGGGGGCGAGGAGGAGGAGGAGGAGGACGAGGAGGAGGATGACGAGGAGGAGGAGGAGGAGGAGGAGGAGGAGGAGGAGGACGATGCAGGAGGATGGGGGCGAGGAGGAGGAGGACGACGAGGAGGAGGGGGTGCGCTTGGATACCGAAGGGTCGACATCCCACAAGTCCAGATCGCAGCTTTGTGAAAGATGAGGCGTGCTTGTGGACACACGCGGCGGAGTGTTTGACACTTTGCACCGCCGTGGGCAAATGTCGAGCGTAGTGTTCTGGACCTTCCGCCACCGTCACGTACAAGTCCTAATTCTTGGCACCTCACGGCAGACATTCTGCTTGCGGCAAGACGTTGGGAATACTAATCCCACCGGCCCTCTGGGCGTAGGTGGTTCAACGAGTTTTGTCTTCTCTCCGTCCGTCCAAAATCCCTCCCTCCCCTGCTCAAAGGAGGGGGTGATCACTGTTCCCTATTAATATACACCCCTCCCCCAGGCGAACGGCAGCCAAACAGAAACAATGAGGACCCCATGATGGCCCCCCCCCCACCATCCCTGTCAAAAACAATACAACCTACACTTTGGGGCATAATCTGGAGTCATGTTCGTGAGGCCCGCGAGCACTTTGTACTGCTTTTTGACAGGGACGGCGGGGGTGTCAGCATATTGTCTGCTCCGCACAGGGATACCATCCCTAAGACAAAACAATACAACATGCACCTCGCAACGCCTCGCCCCAGCGTCGCGCAGATGGGCTCGGTTTTGGTTCCCAGCAGCTGTCCATCCAAAGACGACCGCTGAACATGCTGAGACTCGGGTGTTACTTCTATGTTGGGAGGGCGGGTGGGATCGAGCTAGACGGCTTGCCATCTAGGAGGGTGTCTAGACCCCTCCTCCTAACCCCCTCCCCTGGGCCTGTGAGGCTGCGGCCGACCGCACCGCGCGGAAGTACGCCGACCGTTGGGGCCCTCTCTGAGGTCGCTACTCTGTTGTGTTCAACCGCGCCCCTCCTTCCATCCTTGCCACGTCTCCTTGTGAGCGCTGCTACCTGCCAACAGTGCTTAGGCGTCGGAAGCGCTCTCCTGGGAAATACCATGGGGTCGGCTGATGTGGCGTAAGCCTCTCGAATCTCTCAGCACTTCCAGCTGGAAAGGCTACCATTACCTTCGGTCACGTGCCGGAACGTAAGAGGGTGTACCGATCATCTTCGGGGAGCAAATTTCCTCCCACTGTGCAACGCACCATCAGAACCCATTTCATTATCGATAATGTTATTGCTGTCGGGCTGGCCAGGAACGTTCACGCATTACCGTCCTGCCCAGGTGCTGATCTAAATACGTTGACCTACTACGACAACGATGCCCAGCCAGGCTTGCAGCTTTATGAGCCAGCCAATGTTTCCCTTAACATCCCTCGACTGGTACAGAGCCTGTTCTCCTCTCGGCCAATACACTGATTCGACGAAGACCCTTCGAGATTCCCCGACCTAGCCGACCGTCCTCGGGAGAGTGATGAACGCGGAAATGCGAACCTCCATGAGACTCCAGTGGAATCTGAGAGAGACGCTGGCCGACTATCTACCATCGACGAGGGGGGGGGCGAACAAGAGGAGGACACGATGCTGATGCAGGATTGGTATCAGGAGCTGGTGCACTCTGACCAAAACTAAATCGGGCCATGTATCTAGTCAGAACAGCTTCAACTCCACTGCGCGGTCCCCACTCCCCTCATGCCTATCAAAACGAGACCAGTATCTTACGGGCACGAAAGCATTGTGTTCAAGACGGACGCCATATACCTTGGTAAACCTGTCCAGCATGACGCGCCATTTTCCCACCGAAAGGGTATGGTAACCGTACTGCGGCCATCGAAGGGCTCACTTGCAGCCGCACGTGACGACTGCAACCTCGATGCCGACGCCCAGGGCAAGCACGCCGAGCTGTGCTTCACTGGTGACATGCCCAACGTAGCTTTGGACGAGCATCAGCTCAATGCCATGCACCCTGACGAACTAGCTACAGTGCGCGTCTACATTCTGGTGGGAATTGCAACAAACTGTTGTCGTGAAGGAAGATGACCTGCTCACCAAGACCAGCTCACCAAGCAGGATCTCCTGAGTCATTCCAAGCAAATTTCCAATGCCCATATGGCCGAACTGAAAATATCGTTAGATAGCCGCTGCTTTACTTAGGAACCTTTGTTTCCAAGGCCCAACATGACATCTACAAATGGAGGTTCGTGAAGACCGACTCCGGCAATACTGAAAAATGTACGACTCCATGTAGTACTGAAATGGCTTTATGTACCAAGAGGCCTTCTCCGTAGAGACCTTCTCAGGCACGATTAGGCATACCTCGCAGCGCTTACTAGCAACTGAGGCGGCATGCCACGAGGACTGGATCCTCGCCAGCCTGGGCGTGCACAAGGCCTTCCTCAGAGGCCTAACCTACAACGAGTTAGTAGAAGCGACAAGAGAACAGGAGGGCATTGTATGTCGTACTCTGCCTACTGGAAGTGCCCCCGGCCTACGCACATTATCGGGGTTGGGGGGCTATGGGGGGCACCGGCACACAGGACGCTCCACGAGGCTTCTCCCTCAAGCTGTAGAAGACCACAGGGAGCATCGTTCTCAAGGGATTGGGAAGTGTAGGCCTCATAAGCATACATGCACGAACTGTGCACTGATACCTATACGACCACACTTAGGGTGATAAGGAGGTTCGGAGGGGGGGGGAACCAACGTCTCACTCGATCGGTCTCACTATCGATCTCAATATCGATCTCACTATCGGTCTCGCTCGATCGATCTAACTCGATCGATCTCACAATCGATCTCACTCGATCTATCTCATTCGATCGATCTCACAATTGATCTCACAATCGATCTCACACTCGATCACACAATCGATCTCACATTCGGTCTCAATATCGATCTCACTATCGATATCATAATCGCTCTCACAATCAACGTCATCATCCTCATCATCATCATCATCAACATCATCAACATCAACATCATCACCAGCATCGTCATCATCATGCGGGCCCCGTCATCATCATCATCATCATCATCATCATCATCATCATCATCAACGTCAGCATCATCATCGGGACAACATCATCATCATCATCACCATCATCATCTCATCATCAACATCATCATCATCGGGACACAGTCATCGTCATCATCATCAGCAGCATCATCAGAATCATCATCATCATAATCGGGGCACCATCATGATCACCATCGTTCTCATCATCAACATTATCATCAATATCGTCATCATCCTCGGGACACCATCATCATCATGATCATCGCATCATCATCATCATCGACATCATCATCATCAACAACATCATCATCATTGGGGCACCATCATCATCATGAGCAACATCATCATCAACATCGTCATTATCATTATTATCATCATCGGGACACCATCAGCATCACCATGATCATCATCACCATCATCATCATCATCAACATCATCGGGACACCATAATCATCATCAACATCATCATCCTCAACATCATTATCGCCGGGACACCATTTCCATCAACATCATCATCACCAACATCATCGGAATCATCATCATCATCAGCATCATCATCATCAGCATCATCATCGGGACACCATCATCGTCATCATCATCAACATAATCATCATGAGCATCATCATCCTAATCATCTGGACACTATCATCATCATCGACATTATCATCAACATCATCTTCATCGGGACAGCATCACCATCATCATCATCATCATCATCAGCATCATCACCATCATCATCTTCTCATCATCATCATCCTCGCGGGACACCGCGGGACACCGGCGGGACACCACGGGACACCGCGGGACACCGCGGGACACCGCGGGACACCGCGGGACACCGGCGGGACACCGCGGGCCACCGGCCGCCCGGAAGGGAGTCATTTGGTCCGGCCGCGCCTCAGCCACACGGGACACTAGCGGGACACCGGCGGGACACCGCGGGCCACCGGCCGCCCGGAAGGGAGTCATTTGGTCCGGCCGCGCCTCAGCCACAGGAGACTTTCTGTCGCCCGCCCACGCAGCTTCGCCTCGCCCGCACGGCACGCACGAACACGAAACCGAAATCGATTTCTCGGTAGGGGGGCTCTCCGTTCCACTTCGATCTCACCCCCTCACCTCCGATATACGAAGGCGGAGGGCGTAGAGGGACCAAGACGACTACATCAAACAATTGCATCGCCCAATTGCACACCCCGAACTTGTCGGAACATCACCTGATGCGACGGCCAGCAAGACTGTCAAGGCATGTGAGTCCGTCTTCGAGGTGCATTCAGCTACTCCGCTCTTTCTCAATTCCGGGTAGTGGTGCATGTTGTGTCACTACAAAGCACTCACAAACCGACGAACCTCCAAGTGAGGCGCTGAATGTTCTCGTATACTACTGCAAAAACCTTGGCAGGTCACATACCATGCGATGACACGAGCCTGTACGGTGGATCTACACAGCGACTCGGGCTACAGAAAACTCACCAGAGAAGAGGACGACGAGACGAAAGGCTATGACCTTCGTTGGAGCAACCTGCTGCGCTGTGGCAACACGAGGAGCAAGGAGACGGTCATCCACTATATCGACAGCCTGTGTACGGCCAATCGCCTTCAAGTCCGATCCAGTTCCGTTGCTGACGCACTTGCTGCTGCCCACAGCGTGGACAAGCGCTATCCTACCTTAATGACACCATGTGAGCTCAAGAGGAGACCACTGACCTCCCCTGGACTCGAGCATCTCCGTGAACAAGGTGGACCCAGTAGCAAGGCATCCCTTACGAGTGATGCCGAATGCGTGGACTAGTCCCTCCCCAGCAAGGACCTGAAAACACCGAGAGAAAAATACTGCTGGGCCATAGCAGCTGGCTGAGAGAATTCCTGCAACTCGGCATCACAGACAACGCACAGTGGTGTGACACCCGGGATATGGCGGCGGGTGGACACACCAAGGGCCCTACCGGTCGTGCCACACACGAAGTGAAGCCACATGCACCTTACCGTGGCAATGCTCGAGCGCCGCTTTAGGGGGAAGAGGCACTGGGGAATATGAGCAGGAGGTGGAGGCGGAGCAGCAGGAGCAGGAGGAGCAGGAGGAGAAGGGATGAGGAGAAGGAGGCGGAGGAGGACGAGGGGGAGGAGGAGGCGGAGGAGGAGGAGGAGGAGGCGGAAGCCGCTGCCGTTCAAACGACTGGGTGGACCCATGAGGTCTGAGAGGCTGCTCAGCTGCGGCCGCCAGTTGCAGAAGAGGCGGGGCCCTCCTCCTGGCCCCACTCGGACCTTCCATGGAACCGCGGCCGCTTGGAGCGAGCGCGTGCCCGCGCTTTTCTTGCCTGCCTTTTGAGGTGGAGCCACGCAAGCCTGGAGGGAAGCGCGTGGCCACGCTCCTTCAGCCAGCCTTTTGGTTGGGGGTGTAGGCCCCCGCTTTTGGCCTGCGTGATGCGCGGACACGCGGCGCCACCGAACGTTGTTGGCCCGAGGCGGGGTCCACCGCAGCGGCGTCTGGAAGGGCTTTCTGGGGCGCCTCCCGCCTGCCCAGCACGAGCTGGTTGTTTCAGTTGACCCCTGCCCTGTTGCACTTGGTGCACAGGTTGCTCAAGCATGGCAAGAGGACCCGCTACTTCGCACCGCCCTTCTTTTTTGCTTGCCTCTCTGCAGCTGCGGTATTCCAGCCAGTCGGCTACCGAATCTCTGAATTGCTGCCTCGGGCCGGCTGCATGGACAGCGGCGGCCAGGCTCCGTTCCCCCCTCCTCGGCTTCGAGGGACCGTCCCAACTTGCTTGCCTATCCGCCGCTGCCCCGCCGCAAGGCAGCGCCGCCCCCCTATCTGCCCATGTTGGCGGGCGGCCCGCCCGCCATTTGCAGCGCCGCGGGTGACGGAAGGCCCTCGTCCCCTCCCAGCTATATCCTCGCCACACCGCCGTCGCCCACCTAGGAACAGACACGGCATGGCTCTCTCGCTACGGGCTGAGGGCCCCTAGACCCCCAAAAGAGCCACAAGCGGGCCCCAAGGGTGCCCCGACTGGCTCTGCGAGGGCCCTAGAGAGACTCAAGATGGCTCCAAGATACCTCCGAGAAAGTATTTCCAAGTGGGTTGTTACACTGCATGTTTCTACATTGTACACTTCCCTGATCAAGGTAACTCGCCTGGCTATATGTTTCCGGATAGGGTGGTAGGGATATGCGAAACGTCAAGAGTTCCGTTGCAAGGTGCTCGGGCTGACTCGACGACCTGGGGAAGGTAACGTGGCGTATAACCAACGCACAGCCAGGGCCATCGAAACGAGGGCGGCGCGCTTAAATTGCAAGTTGCTGCGCAGCAGAATACTAGATGAAATGCATCGGCAGCGTTGGACAGAGGAGCGCCAAATTATCCCCGCAGGCGTCAACCGACTCCGGAACACGCGTCGATTCCCCCCCTCAAAACCACCCCAACAAGAAGCCATAATCCTTTAACCTCTGAAGGAAATGTGTCATTCGCGTATCTCGCACGTTCGCTTCTGTTGCGCTTCTGAGCCCCCAATATGACCACCTGATGGCCCGAGAGAGCCACAAGAGGGCATCAAGAGGCCCCCCAGACGGACCCAATAGCGCCCCATGGGCGCCCCATGATGGCCCCAAAAGGCGAATTTGAGGGCTCCAGAGAAGGGGGACAAATTGGAGACCACCCCCTTTGATGGATAGTCTCCGAGATTGCTTGAAGAGGTTCTCCAGAGCTCCCAAGACTGCCTCCAGAGGGCTCCAATATGCTCCAAGAGTGCCCAAAGAGGACCCCAAGACGGCCCCAAGAGCGCCCCAGAGCGCCTCAAGAGCGTCCCACGAAGGCACCAAGAGGCGGCTTACCTCCACTTCCTCCTCCTCCTCCTCCTTCTCCTCGTCCTCCTCCTCCTCCTCCCCCTCCTCCTCCTCCTCCTCCTCCTCCTCCTCCTCCTCCTCCTC